CGGTTTGAATTGTTGATCTCTTAATGCCTTAGCTGGATTGGCAGCCAGTCTGGTCCAGTCAGGCTTGCCTGATTGCAGGAGAAATAGAAAATAAAATTAGCATAGGCAAAGGCAGGGATAATCTAGGAAGTATTCACAACGATGAATGGAGCTGGGTGACAGGTTGCTTTTGCTGGGGGCTTTTGATACCCTGCCTTGTTCCAATGTGTGTGGGCTAGTAAATATTCAGCAGAAGTTTACCGGGAAATTTATAAAGAGATTTACAGCGAGCTCAGTCATGTCTGTATCACCACACTGACACGCTGGCTTTGCTTTTGCGTATCTCACAAGAAACTTAATGTCAGCTTATACGCAAGAAACCAGATAGCCCTGTATACGCGAGCCTGTGCATACTGAGATGCACTTGATGAAAACAGTGCGACTTGTCTCCTGGGAGAGTAATACCCAGTAGTCTAATTCCAGGCACTGTCTCAACTAATCCTCCTGTTGGACAAAAACTAGAGTTTTCTATCATGAAAACTGGGTCAAAGCAAGCAAACAAGGACTATTGCAATCTCCATGAAGGCCAAAAAAAGGAAGGGAAAGGAAGGAATATACAGTAACTATTTTCATCAAATGCACACAGACTTTTTTTTTTCCAAGGGATGACAACTTTTTAATGCAAGTTTTATGCTGCCTCTGAACTGGTAAGTCTCAGGGCAACACACAATCACGCCGGTGCACTGCTTGGTTCTTCATTATCTCTTGCCCTTTTCCATTAGTTCTCAGAGGAGAAAAAGAAAAGGAAACGGGCTCTGTTCCTTCATACCGTTAATAAAGTCGCTCGCTGCAGCAGCAAGCTCTATAATTTTACCTGGGTTTTTACCTAGGGCGACACTGTGTACAAAGAAGAGTTACAAAACCAGGCTGACAACTGACAAGCTCCTATAAAGCTGCTTTGCTTTGCCAGGCATCTCAGCTGCCAGATCTACTTTCCTGCTCCCAATCAGCTCACAGTGACATCTGCATTTGCCTTTTATTATCACAGCTTTTGGATTATATGCCATGACATAAGGGCATAACCAGGAGGCTCCGTCAGCATCACGGAACAGGCTGCCGAGCTGAGAAACTCGTGGGCAAAATGTTCAAGTTCTGTCAAATTTTTCTCCCACAGCCCGATCCCGTCTCACTCCTGGTGCTCTGTGAGCAATGAAGGCCCAGCTGAGGCCAACGCTGCACTCACAGGTGGTATTTTGACTGCGCTCACATAAACTTTCTCGTGTGCCAAGAGCAGCCCAGGCAGCCCCACGTTCAGCATCCCAGATGGATTTGCTGTTTGCACTGAAACCACAGAGCCACAGCTGAACCCTGTGACTGAAGCCTAAACCGGCCAGTTTGCTGCCTGATGGGACATGTTTACATTAGCTGTGGTCACGTTTTATTATGGCATACAGTCTCTGAGAGAAGTAGCTGGGCAATGTTACAAATAACTGACATTTATACATTCACAAGAAGGCCTAAGTATTCAACAATAACTCTTCACAGCACTTGTGTGCAGTAGGAACTACAGTTACTTCCTAATCTTAATAATATGACTTCATTTCTTCATTTTTGTTATGTGGTACTGACATCACTTACGTCAACTGAAATAAAAAATAGCACCTTCCTTATGTTGTCCTTTACTATTTCGTATATTTTCTATTCATAGAGAACTGAAGAATCAGGGAATATTTTTTTAAAAAGGCTTTGTTAGGGTGATAGATAATGGACTCCAAATGGAAAATTACCTGGGTGATGTCTGTAATACTAACATTCCATCTTTAACTACAAAATACAGCACCAAGATCAACAAAATCCAAAGTATCCTCTTACCTTAGGCTCTCTTCATACGCATGTGAATGGCAAACCTGTTACACCTAATCAAAACACGATCCTACTTTTCCTTTTTCTTTTACTCATGTTCATACTACTGCAACTTAAATGGACATTTCCTGAAGTAGCTTCTTTAACTACACTTAATAAAATCAGACAATGCAAAGACAGACAGGAGGAAATGGAACTTTCATCATAAAGTGCAAGAATTACCTTTAGCAGGGTTTACTTTTATCCCTGACCTGTACAGCATCTCCTCATTCTGCCAGTCCCCATTCCTGACAACAGTCTTGAGTCCATAGAAAACAATTAATGCAGCAGTGGAACAAAAGACCAAGTTCTTCAGAAAGCGCTTCTGGACTTTGACATAAAGGGCCCTGACACCCACTGTAACCAGCAGGCAGAAGCCCATACTAGGGACATACAGCACACGCTCTGCTATTACAAAGCCAACGTAGAAAAACAGGTTGGTGGCAGGAACGAAGGGCACTACTAACAACGACAGAGACAGGACGACAATGTTCTCGGTTGACGGCAGCGGCAGCTTCTGCCCTCCGTGCTTTTTTACGCCGTTCTCTTCTTTGGATGCAAAGCTGGACTTCCCCTCCAACGCCTTATAGTCCACGTCCGAGTGGCAGCTGTGCCCGTTGGCGTTCTGCTTGCCGTTCATCACCGCCTTCCCGTTGCACTCCCTCTCGCCACCAGAGCCCTTCAGGCTGCAGTAGGCGAGGAGGAGGAGCCCCGCGTAGAAGGCCACGGTGTGCAGGTTCCTCCAGTCGCCGACTGCTTTAAGAAGAGGCACAGCATCCATGGACCAGTCGAAACTGAGGGTGTCCGGGCACAGCAACAGCCAAAGGTTCTTGGTGGGCAGATAGAAGAAGGTGAGAGTGCGCGTGAGAAAACTGTCCGAGTCGGCTGCGGGGTTGTCCGAGTTGGAAAAGCTCGGAGGTTTGTTGCCCATCCAGTACAAGCGGACACCCAGCAGCGCAGTCCCCCAGGAGGTCAGTAAAGCAATGCTGAAGAAGAGGGACAAATTCTTCCTCTGAAAGAAACAAAAAGATGAAAAGATTCATCAGTATAAATTAACACTGGGCATTTAGGACTAAAGTCTCCTTAGACGATCCTAAACAAGGGGAATCAATGCCTAATTTTTTTTTCTTTTTTTTTTTTTTTGGTAATGATTACATCTGGATCAGAAAGTGCTGAAGTGCTGAGGTGTATTGCTGACTATAGGGTAAAATTTAAGTTGTATCATATTCAGTCCAAGAATGTGCCAGTTGGATTTTCCCTAATGAAAACCTAACTTCATCTATTCCCCTGAGAAACAAATAAACTTTCCAAGAAGTCAAGGGAGGAAAGCAGGTAGAGACTCCATGTTTAGGTTCTCAGGCTCCTACCACTGGATTACAGTGATCTTGAGGGGCCTTCAGGTCTGCCTGTTAGCACTGAAAATCCTGTCCCACAGCCAAAGAATATGCTGTTCTCTTCTTTTCTTGAAGTAAGTAAGTGCACCATATCAAAACCAGAACTCTAAAGTCCTTCCAGATCTTCATCTCCATCTACATGATATTACATGAAGCATTCAGCTGTCTTTACCTGCCCGTGTCGCCACGCTAGCAACTATTAGAGCCACCACTTATTTATGGAATATTCAACTCAGTATCTGCCACCTGGAACTCTTCATTGCCCCCATCCACCCTCACCTTCAGAAAGTTTTGTTTGTTTGTTTTGTTTTCTAAAGATTTGAAGAAACTCACCAATTCTCCTTAAACAAGAGGAGGAAGCGAGGCTTTCTCGCCTAATTCTAGGACTGATGAGCTCAAATCCTCTCTGAATCATGCGGGCTCCCTGAATACAAGCTGTTTGGGATTACTGTCTCTTTGTCATACTATTTATAAGAGCTAAAATATGTGTATTTTTATATTTCAATTTCTCAGATGCCTTTTGTAAGAAAAGAAAAAACTATTTGCCAGATAGCTCCAGACAGACTGCAAGCATTTTGATAATCTCTTCCTCTGTTATTATGAAGAATTATTTGTCAATCATTTTTCATTTTAAGTCTGTTCTTTCCATCTCCCACTACACATGCTTGGGCTGGTTATTCACTGCCTGCTTCCTCTCAGCATTCAGAACCACGACTTAGGTCTGGAAAGGTTTATCTTACTGCTTTCAAACAGTTCATTTCTTCTTTTTTGAGAGGGGACCCTCCCCTTGGTACCGTGAAATAGAGCCAACTGCTGCTCCACAGCAGGCCAATTGGTAACATTTTTCTTTCATCAGGGTACTGATGTTCCACTAACGAGTTTTGTTCTAGTCATCATGATTTATCTGCTTATCTCATTAAGAAATTTATTCCTCTTCCTCATTTTTCAGAGTTTCTCCTTGTGAGTTCTAAAATATGCAATGGCAGTTAGATTAAATCACTCAATTCTGTGGAGGTAGGGAAGAATAAAATGGAGGCATTAGTAGGGAACAAATTCATGGTGAAAATGATTTATGCATTTGCATGAGTTTCATTTATAAAAGCTGTTTCATGTATGAAACAAAGTCTAAGTTCACATTTTTCATTTGTGATATTAATTACATTATTCATTTTTTATAGTCTCATATCCCGAGAAATCAACAATTTTTGGTAATAAACCATCCAAAATCCAGACAACATTCTATGATGATTTTATGCCTAGGAAAGTCTATTCTAACAACTTATTGTATTTGCAAGTAGGACAATACTTTGTGAATCCTTTCAGATTACTGGTGTCCCTCTGGCTAATGGGATTGTTTAAACATTTTAAACATTGAAACTGGTTATCACTGAAATTTCCACCTGAGTTTAGACTTGTGACCTTTATATATATATATATATATATATATGTATGTATGTATGTATGTGTGTATATATATGTATAGGATATATATATATATATCCTTCTATATTTTCTGGAGAGCAATATAGGAGGCTGCTTAGAAAGAAAGATGCTCAGAAATTGAAGGTTTTTTCACAGAATCACAGAATGGTTGCGGTTGGAAGAGACCTCTAGAGATCACCTAGTCCAACCCCCGTGCTCAAGCAGGGACACCCAGAGCACGTGGCACAGGGTGGCATCCAGGCGCATTTTGGATATCTCCAACCCACGTATCTCCCACCCCCCTAGTATTTTGTTTTTGTTTTTGTTTTCTTTTAATAATTAGAAATTCAAATAAGGTCTTTCCTGGAGAGGTCTTTCCTTTCCTATATCATTAGCAAGTTTAAGGCATCCCAAGTTCCAAGGTGAAACTTGATTACCAGAAATGAGAAATGTGCTTTCACAGATTGCTTAGACTGCTTTGTTGCCTGGTTATTTTGCTTATACTTATCAGGCTCAACAACTGGAAGAAAATCTCCCTTTGTTACAACAAACAACTACCCTTTCCAATCCAATGCTGAGAATGCTTACATTACAAAGCTCTGCAGCAAAACCAGGCTAAAGCAGACCTGCCATTTCTCATGGATAGCAGGGAAACCTGCTAAAACCTTTCAGATCTGATTCATACACCCTAAAGCCGTCACAAGGAGAGGTCTGCCCTTCTCTCCAGCTCTAGAAGGCAGTTTCTACCTTGAAGCAAATCCATCCTCACGGCTCGACTAACTATTTGCAGCCTCTCCTCCTAAGCTTAAATTTAAGACCTGTAAGGCCTGGATCCCCCAGTCTGTTTTGGTTCTGGAAGGAACACAGTATTTCTCTGCATATATCATGTTTCGTGCTTTTAGATTTTTTTTTTCTTTCTTTTTCTATCCATTTTACACCAGCATAAAATGATGCATTCACAGAGGTCAGAGCTACCTGATTTAAAATAATTTTCCATGCCAGCATATCTCTCTCTCATGCTGTACGACATTAGTTAACCAGAGAGAGCACTCTGGTAGCTTCTTTAGCTTAATTACCTCACACCGGAGAGGGCTGCGAACACCCTCTCGTCAGCTCAAACCCTTTGCCTTCTTCCCTAGAAACTTTTTCAGACATGGGTCTTCTCAAAATCCAGCAACTTGACATCTTTTTAAAATTAACTCCATGTAACTGCAACCTGCAGCTAACCACGTGCGTAACCCAGAGGTCTTCTTGTAAAGTTTCACAGATTTCAGAGGCACTCCCCTGCATTTTCTCTATACTGAAACTGAAATCCTCCCTAACATGTAAACTTCTGTCAAAAAAAAAAAAAAGTAGGACACCATATATTTGTTTTAGCACTGATTGATAGATAGTGTTGGCTCAGAAGGGGAATGACTCGCCCCTCTTTTTTCTCTCTCACCACATCACCTCGTGATTTTTGCAGTTTTACTCCCCTGTACTCAGAGATAGTAACAGTTTAGCTCACATTTTGGCTTTACCTTCTTCCAGACTTTGGAGAGAGAACAACAACTAAAAAGAAAAAGGAAGACTCAAAAACAAAAACCCGCTGCAGCAATTTATTACCAGCAAATAATAATTGGTTTACCAATGGACTTCTGTCCTCAAAAGAGGCGCTTTCCAAACTCAGGCTGTCAGATAAGCACTTTCCCTTGCGTCTCGTCCTTGGAGCCCTTCCCTGGATGCTCTCGTGTAGCGCAGCAGCAGGAAGCGCTCCGCCGCAAGCTTGGCAGCGAGGATTTGGATCACTGTGCTCACGAGTCCTAATCCAGCCCATCTGCCGTATGTTTTGACACCCTCATAAATCCTCTAACCTTTCACAGGCAGTCATTTTCATCGGGGGGGCTGCTGAGGGAATGAGCGCTGACTTAGATCAGGTTTAACGTCTCTTGTGCCCTGCTAAGAGTCCAGAACCAGTACTGCAAGTTTAGTGCTTCAGACTGCAGAAAAGCCTTCCACCTCCCTACCAAAATCCATCTGCAGAAGCCACCCACGCTGCATATTTCCCTTGCATTAAATCCTAATCCCTCGTTCCCTTACATCCTTCTCAAAAAAAGCAGATTTCTTAATTGGGCAGCCCCTGCCAAAGCTCAGTTATCACCTAATCTGCATCCAGAGCTTTTCCAAAAGACACGATTCTTTCAACCTCTCCCTGCCCGTTTCACAAAGAAGCATTAAAGAAGGTACCTGGTCAGAGGGCCCAGATGAAATACACTGGAGTTATCCTCGCCACAAAATGCTATGTTTAGAGTGCTGGAAATGCAGACAAGAAAAGGGGGAAGTTGCCAAGCACCACCCAGAAGACAGGTTCATCCACAACCGAGAGCTTGGTCAGAATCTGTTGGCTTGAGAACTGTGGCAAGCCAAAGCAGCGAGATGCTGCCAAATGACAGCACCTTGTTTCCTCGACAGGTCGAGGTTCCCAGATCACCACTCAGCTGAGTTTGAGCTGAGCAAGAGCTGAAACAGGATCCGCGGCTGGCGTGGGGGCACTAGTTCCCTAACTGCAATGAGGGCTGAGTCCCGGCTCACGGCTTTTCCCGCTGCATCAATCTGTGAGCAGGACCAGCGCAGAAGATGGCAGCTCCCTGAGGGCAGAGCCTGCGCAGCCACATGCAGCACGCATGGCAATTGCCAAGGTAAATATCCTGCCCAGGGCTAACGTAGCCTTGTGGCAGCAAGGACCCAGGAGGCTGAAGCCCACAAAGCCCGAGAGACATTACTTGAATAGCTAGACTGTTCAGGAGAGCTGTCCAGCACCACTCTCAGCAGCGTGCAAGCACGTAGGTGGTCCAGCAATCGTGCCTGTGTCTCATTTAACGAGTATTATCTCCTTGGATCGGTTTTGCAGTGAACTGAAGGTACTTTCTGCACCAGACAACCTATGGGATAATACCGTCCAGGGACTATGGACTAAAGCTCATCCCTTCAAGGCATGAGAACTCATCTTCCCACTCCTCTGTACTAGTAATTCCCAGAACTGTCTGGTTTCAGCACAGAACTTTCAGAAATAGGTGGATGAACTAAAGAGAGGTCAGAGAGGTGGGGCTAAAAGGTGATTAGTAATCTAGAAAAATGTGTCCCACGAAGAAAGAATGAAAGGACAGACGGGTTTGACATTGCAGCTGCCTCCAACCACATGTGTGAATGACTACGTGAAACACGAAAGGAATCATTTGTTCTCCATACCCGTGGCCAAAGAATAACAGTAATGAGCTTAAGTCACAGAAAGGAAGATTCGGGTTAGATATTAGGAGATGCCTTCCATTATTAAATATGGTGATGCACTGGAACTATTTGTCTTGGAGGTTGGCTATTTGGCTTTATGCTGCCTTTAAGAATAGATTAAATGCATATCTTGCAGGGAAAGACAGAAGCACTCTGTTCTGTTTTAGGGACATACAGTGGCCTCTTAAGGTAACATAATATGTGTTATGGGCTCTTAAGGTAACTCATAGGCAGAACATCTTGTGATTACAACACCAGTAACACCAGAATTTGAAAGAAATTTTGGCATTGCACCTCCTAAAAAGCACACATATGTATGTATTTTCTGATTTATTTTATTCTCATGACCTTGAAAAACATAACTCATCCACACTCCAATCATTTCTGCTTTAAATACTGCAGCTTGCTTACAGCAGCCCTACTTTGTCTTAACGCTTGCTTCACTTTCTTCCAATCCAGGCAAAACACTTGTTAAGATGATCCTCATGTTTTGTTCCTGCAGTGACATTAGCATATTCCCAACATTTCTAATACTACCTCTCACGAAACAACACTTTTTTTTTTCCCCCACACTTGTTATAAACATATAAATCTATCATATGGTCTTTTTTTAAAAACCTCACTCATATTTATTCTTCATGTATCCCATCAATGCAATGATGATCGCTGCACATGAGACATTTTCTGGTCTTAACAATAAGTTTACAGTATTACCCTGTGATATCAGGAATAAATACTCTTGCAATGTTAAAAAGAAAAAAAAATCAAATAAAAGATCAATAAAAACACAATGTAGGAGAGTCACTGAATCTTTTCTAACCTGGCTACTGTAATGAAAAATCTTCAATTTTGAATACTCTGTGTCAGAATTATAAGAGCAATATCAAACAGTGCTGAAGCTGGTTTTATTTGCTATAAAATAATAATTATTACTATTACCGTTCAAGCTTTCTGGTTTGCAGAAGCATGCCTTTGATGCCAGCACTGCTGTGACAATTTACACCACACTTAAACTCACCAAGTGAGAGTTCTAACAGCAGCACTGACTCAAAAAGTTGGCACAATAATGTTACAGCTCCTTGATAACATACAGAAAGCAATAAAGAAAGGGAAGCTAGGCAAAAGCAAGAGTAAAACGAAATAATCCAAGGAAGACACTGCAAAGAGCTAACAGCATACATAATAAAAATGGAAAACAGTCAATTTTTTTTTTTTTTTACGGGATGTATTATCAGCATGTTAGGAAAGCCAAACAACACATGCAAAGAGGGCACGGCTTGGCACTGCATTTGCAGCAGGAACCAAGCTGGGCCATCCCCCCAGGGAAGGCTGCCTGCTGCAGAGCTGCCGCGTCCTCGCGGGACACCAACACGCAAGGCTGAAGCCCATGGTGTGATTTAGGTGTGATTTACACCTGCTTTGCTGGGTGCACTTATGCTGACAGCACTTCTGAACTGCTGGCAGCAAAGGCTGGCAACGTGTCAAAGCCCCTGTGACCTGACCTGATGGAGACGCTCGTCCTCTGCCAAAGGGAGCTCGTTCTGCTCCGCTGTGCAAGGCACAGCAGCGATGGGCACAAGGCAGGAGCAGAAAACGACTCCAGGAGCCACCCCGCCATTCCCCCCAGCACGGCGCCGCCGGCATCGCCACGGCCCGTCCCGCATGCCTCCTGCCCCACGGGAAAGGCCAAGCCTACCAGCATGGTGAACGGCCCGCGGCAGGGACAGAGAAACACCGGAAGCCACCTGAAACTGCGAGCGGGCACAAACGTTGCAACTAACCAGTGTAAATGGATTTTACGAGCAAGAAAAGTCATTTTGTTCCAAATTAAGCCTCGGGCAAGGACTAGGAAGCTTTACCAATCCAGCTGGGAGGAGACCCTCAATATCAAATCCCATAGACAGCATAAATAACAAGTATGCTCTAGTTTTAACAGAACAAGGTACTCATATATAACAGAAGTCCAACAGCTGGAAGTCCATAGAGCTCCAAAATATCATTTCTACAGTGCAAAACAAGCAGGATCTATGTTTTCTTTTCACTCATTTTCCATCTGCCATGACAAAAATTCAGGTGTTTCAAAGATTCAAAAATGTATTTGTGCATTTAAAAGTATAGGAAAAGAATAAGCAGCAATGTTGGCTTGTAACTATATTCAAAAGAAAGAAGAGGTTTTCCTTTCTGAGCATGAACTTTTAATTCTTTTAACAAGGTGAAATTCAAATGCACCAAACATTTTCAAAGAGAACACAGAGAATATTGAAATCCCACCACATGAAACACAGAAGCAAAAATTTAGCTCAGAGGGACATTTATAAAAGCAAGATCCTCTTAAGGTCATGTGAAGAAGTCACTTCTTTTTTTTTCCTTTGCAAGGAATTATTTACAGCTCTTCCTGGTGCAGATAATTTATCAAATTTATCAAAATCCATTGCCTATAGCAGATTAAAGGTAATTCAGAGAAGGTCACCACTACGGATGAAAAGCTTCGTTCTCCAAACACACTGTGAGGAACTTCTCTCATACTCCCAACCAAAACAAGTTGTCTGGAGCAGCTCTGCAAGCCACCTTGGTCATCCAGCCCGGCTTTCCTTTCTGTGTATCTGACCAGGTGTCTATAGAGCCCTGGCAACAATATTCGGGAGATTTGAAGAGTAAAATATTAAAAGAGATGAGGAAAAAAAGAAAGAAGAAAGAAAGAAAATAAACCCAGCCTTTTATGGCTTGACCAGTAATACTGTGATCTTGAAGAAACACTGGAGAAATTAACATTTTAGTAAGAGCTTTTCATTTTTTCCCTTTTCATCAGAACAGGTTACTTCCTTGCAGTTTTCTTCTTTCTTGCTCAAAGACTGATTCGAAGAAGAGGAAGCTTGCTATGTCTTGGGCTAATTTCTGCAGAAGCTTTTCATATTCACTCCATACTGAATACACTACATAGAAACTGGAATGAAAACCTAGTAGAAAATGAATTGAGAGAACAAATTACACGTTTTGCAGCAAATAGCGCTTGCTAGCTACATAAATAATGACTACATGCTGATATCGGCAAGGAGCGCTGCAAGGATACCATGGGCATAGAAATGCACAAACTTATATATATGGGAATATTTCACCAGTAATAAAAACTGCAACACTTCAATAGGAAATTTGCCCAGCAGTGGGCTTGAGCAAAATAATAGAAAGTTTTGAATGGATCTTGCTTCCCTGCACATGAAATATGATGCAGATAAAATCTTTCTATTTTTACAGTTCATTTATTTCTGCCCTTAGCCTAACCACCTTTTCAAAAGGTTATTTAAAAAGATATTTAAATGTAATCCTTTTAAAAACATGAACTGCACTACTAGGGCGTGATCCAGAGTCAAGCAGAGTTAAAGGTAAAGCTATTACTGACCTCCGTAATGTAAGATCAAATCCTTAATAATCCAAATGCAGAGGGAAATGGCACACAGGGAGGCAGAGTACGGATGGCAAAACCTACTTCATATCATGGGGCTGTAATTGGCAGGGTGACTCATTATTCCCCATTAAGCTAATGGGAAGAAA